TGAGAGGCCCACGTACCGCAAAAAACAAAATTCTGTTAACCACTGCCCATTCATCTATGGTCTGTCCCTCTTGTAACTTGTTGCCAGACATCTTCCTACCTGAGCTCTCAGTGTATAAACCCGCTAAGGAAGGTGGGGCAGCAAGGTAATTGGTCGAGTCTGCCATGCCTTGGTTTATGTCTAACTCCACCACTTACTACATGTTTAATTGGGGGGAAATTAGCAAAATTTGCTTCTGAAAATTGGGGATAATTTCACATACACTTTAAAAAATAAATTTATCTATTTTTATTTTTGGCTGCATTGGGTCTTCGTACGGGCTTTCTCTAGTTGTGGCGAGCGGGGGCTACTCTTCGTTGCGGTGTGCGGGCTTCTCATTGCGGTGGCTTCTCTTGTTGGAGGACGGGCTCTAGACATGTGGGCTTCAGTAGCTGTGGCACACGGACTCAGTAGTTGTGGCTCACAGGCTCTAGAGCGCAGGCTCAGTATTTGTGGTGCATGGGCTTAGGTGCTCTGCGGCATGTGGGATCTTCCTGGACCAGGGCTCGAACCCCATGTCCCCTGCATTGGCAGGTGGATTCTTAACCTCTGCACCACCAGGGAAGTCCAATATCACATACTTTTGAGAATATATTTGTGAGGATTTGAGATAGTGTGATTAAAGTGCCTAACAACATGAAACTACAATGAATGGTAGTTGAAACAACAAAACCAAATTCTTGTGAGATTGGATGTTCTGTCTCATTTAAAAAGTCTTTCCTAAAATTCTAAAATGCCTTAGTAACCTCAGTGAACATGGTTCAGTCTTTCTTTGATAACCTGATCATCTCATATCGCCTTTGGATGGCTATTCTAAAAAAAACCCAGGCGTCCCTGGTGGCGCAGTGGTTGAGAGTCTGCCTGCCGATGCAGGGGACACGGGTTCGTGCCCCGGTCCGGGAAGATCCCACATGCCGCAGAGCTGCTGGGCCTGGAGCCACGGCCGCTGAGCCTGTGCGTCTGGAGCCTGTGCTCTGCAACGGGAGAGGCCACAACAGTGAGAGGCCCGCGTACCAAAAAAAAAAAAACAAAAAACACCCCAAGAACTGTGGATTTGAGCCCCTTTATTTTACAGATGAGGAAATCAAGGCTCAGGGAGATTGTCTTAGCCAAGGTCACATAGCTGGTAAGTGATACAGCTCCCAAAGACCACTGTGCAAGACCACAGCTAAAGATGTTATTAGTATGCTGGGCTGAGTCATATACTCTAACCAGGAGTCAATCCCAATTTGGAATTAGTGAAAATGTCTTATTCTACATACCAGCGAATTTAAGTTACAACGTAAGGATTTAGGTTTGACATGAGAAGAATTTCATCAGAGTAAAAGTTCTTAAACAGTAAAATGGATGAGCAAGGATGTTGTGCAACTCTGGGTTTTAGGAAAAAGAATTATCTGTTGGAATTGGGCAAACAAAGCAGACAGAGATGGTAGGAGAGACCGGATGACTAAGGTTTCTTTCAGAATCAAGGGCAAGGATTTCTAATATTCCAGTTCATGATTACTAAGCCGGTATTACATACAAAAAATTCAGTTGTCAGACACTCCCTGTTCTGGAATTTCTCTTGGTAGGCCTCATGGAATGCAAGTTTACAGTCTATAAAGGGTAAGAGCGCTGCTCACTTAGCAACATAAAGTTCTGATAGAAGCTGTGACCCCTGGAGGGAAAGTGCTCACAACTATCAGCATCCTGTGAACTCAAAGAATTTGCCTGGAATAAGTAAATTGTGAGGAAACCAGAGTGTCCCATGGCTAGGATTTGAGAGTGATCAAGTGCCTGCATAGTGTCCTAAAAGAAAAACAAACAAAAGACTACCTTAGGGCAGCCTAGCTAACATTCTCCAGTAATCCAAGATCTAATTTTAATAGTTCTTACCAAACTTTAAAAGTCACAGTGACTCCTAATTAGCAAATTTAATAATTTAATCTCATTTCCAAATCCTCTGCACTCTTAAATCCTTTCTTTTCCATGAATAGAACATAGAGTCATTGTGCTGTAAGATAAAGGGAGAATTCAGAAGCTTGAAAAATTGTCAAGGGGAGACAATGGAGCAGAGCAGCTAGAGATGGCTCTGCATTCAGAGTGCCTGGGTTTAATTCTGTCTTTGCCACTTACTGTGTCCTGAGGCAAGTTTCTCAGCCTCACTCTGTGCCTGTTTTCCCTTCTGTAAAATGGGAATAATAAACAATGACCATTTCATAGGATTACTAGGGTTAAACAAGGTTAATGTATGTACAGAGCCTGTCACATAGAAAAAATTCATTTACTGTTAGCTATTATTGTCACTATTATTATTTAAGTAATAAGTCAAACTAATAACTACGCTTTGTCAAACATTCAAGGCCCCCTAGAGAAAGAACTCTTCTCTAATAAACAAAGATTTAACAGCAAATGGTGTAATTCTACATACAATATCAAGAGTTGCAATTTGTGTGTGTGTGTTGGGGGGGCTGAGCTGCAGGCATGTGGGATCTTAGTTCCCAGACCAGGGATCGAACCTGCGCCCTTGTAGAGGAAGCACGGAGTCTTAACGACTGGACCGCCATGGAAGTCCCACGAGTTGCAATGTTTGAGGAAAACAGCTTGGGAACATACCTTTAGAAACCTCCTTTGACATACCTGTTGTTGACAAAACAAATTAGAAGCGCTTAAAACTAAGCTAATGAATTTAAATAAAGGTAGAAAATTACTCCAACAGAAAAAATAAAGCCTTCAAAGTTAAGAATCTTGTGGAAATTATATAAAGAATACAGTAATAAAGATGGTAGAGATTAGTTTCTTAAAAAAGGAAAACTCAGCGCAGCTGAAGGATGCCGTTTAGCATCTCTCCTGGCTTCCAAGCACGTGTTCATCAAGGAGTTTCTAAGCCAAGAGCTTCAACAGTTCTAGCTCTTCAGCTTCAGCTCTGCAGAACTGAGTGACCATCTGTTTTACCACAAAAATGCAAAGCAACTCTACACGCTGGAAAGTAATGTCAGTCAGAACCTCTGACTGGGGGAAACAGTTTAATAACGGTCTTTAGCCAATTAAGAATAGACTTTCTCTTCATGGATAAGATTAGAACTTTTACTTAACCCAAAGAACTGTGATTTATCAGGTTCCAAAGATGAGAAACTTCAACTATAATCCTAAATTTTTGGATTAAGGTTTCTTTTAGCTGGCTGAGTACAGCAGTTCACGTGTAAGGCTGGCTTAACCTCTTTCTCCTGACAAATCAGGATGGCAAGGGAATCTCGGCCTGAGCACAAATAACTTCTTAGGTTCTTTAAAGTAGGTATAAGGGGACTTCCCTGGTGGCACAGTGGTTAATAATCCACCTGCCAATGCAGGGGACAAGGGTTCGATCCCTGGTCCGGGAAGATCCCACATGCCGCGGAGCAACTAAGCCTGTACACCACAACTACTGAGCCTGTGCTCTAGAGCCTGCGAGCCACAACTACTGAGCCCACGTGCCACAACTACTGAAGCCTGTGCGCCTAGAGCCCATGCTCCGCAACGAGAAGCCACTGCAATGAGAAGCCCGCACAACACAATGAAGAGTAGCCCCTGCTCACCACAACTAGAGAAAGCCCGTGCGCAGCAACGAAGACCCAAAGCAGCCAAAAGTAAATAAATTTTTTAAAAAATTAAAAAAAAAAATAAAGTAGGTGTAAGGATAGGTTAGCAAGCCTATCCTGGGGCTGACAAAATTTTATAAAAGAGCAACAATGGAAAAAACATCAAAGGTATTAGTATATTACCTAGCTCTTGTTTCCAAGTAATTTTCCTGTTAGTTATAGACAATAGACATGACTGGACCAGGCCTCCTTTAGTTAAATCTGCGTGGATGGTTAGGATAGATTTCTGTGTTGAATGCTTTTGTCACATTACTAAGGAAAGGACTCCACCCTTCCTGCAATGGTATATCTCTTCTTTCTCATTTGAGCTTTAAGAAGCCAACAATCTCTCTCCCAGCACTTTGTGATTCATTTATCAAAGGCAGTTTGTAGGTGGTTTAAGGACATATGAAACACTGTAGCTGAGCTCACTAAAAGCCACTAACAGAGAGTACTGAAGCCACTGATCCACACAAAGAATTGCTGAGTTATCTCTTGGGTTTGCTGTTTTCCTTTCTGTAAAGTAACATGGAAGTAAAAATTATGTTCTGCTCCTTGAGAACGGCTGGAAGGGAAATAACCCAAACATCTTTTTGCTTCAACGTCAGGGAGGTGCATGTCTTTGACAAGCTGGGGATTTTCCCTGGAAGAGTGCAATGGCCCTCTTGTCTTTTCCCATGCTGAAAGCAAGGACAGTTTTGTCCTTACCTGAATTCTGTGAATTTAACAGAGTGTCAGTGTAGGAAGGGACCTTAAATGATCTAAGTGTCTCACTCTATGGTGGAGTACCTGATATACAACATAGCCACCAGGTGACTGTTCCGGCCTTCTTTTTAAAATAAAACAATATCATAAAACACAGAAACCAACCAAAATCCTGCCACTTTTGATTCCAGAAGAGTATTCTTAGCACAGGTTCCTAACAACTGTACGACTAAGAATTATTACCTGCTAAATGGCATAACAGAAAATTAGAATTACTTTTAGAATTAGGTCTCTAGGGTTTATCAATTCTTTTGCAGTGCTGTATTTTTCTAGTCCAAGGACATGTGTAGACATTAGTCATGAAAAACTGGAATTTATGATCTTGAAAACAAGGACCTTAATACAAAATGATTTTTAAAAATCTCTTATGCATTAAATAATCAGGTTCAATGTAGTCAGAAACATTTACCATCCATTTAAAAATTCAAAAAGCAAATAAACTGGAGCTTGTATTTAAACAGAAAATGGACGGTGGCTAACGCAAGGAGGGGAGTGGAAAAGACTCAAAGTAAGTGTAACACTTATAGCTACTTCAGGGGATAAGGAAAAGCTACTTCCAGGATACTGGAAACTTTTAAATATAAGCTACAGTTCAGCAGCTTTTAAAATTTCATGTTTATTCATATTTTTCAAAATATATGTACATAAAAAAAGGAAGATTTACAACAGGAAAGATTGCCTTACATGCAACACAAATTCCAATAAACTCATGATGGGATCACACATTAGATTATGGATCTAATTCAAGCCAATCTTCTCAAGTCCAATTCCCAGCCACACTTCAGGCTGCAGATGGGATCCCAGGAGACAATGCAAATGGAATGAATTAAACAAACATCTTTCGCCTCTGGCAGCACTCAAGGGGCCAGAAGATGTACACCAAAAAGTTTAAGACAATTAAAATGTCAAGTGCCACAGGGGAGATAAATGATAACCAGAAATCAATATTTCTTAGAAAGCTAGTGCTATTTAACACAACTTCACAATACTAAAACAAATACAAATAAGAAAGGGTTAGGTAGTCGGGCTTCATTTGTTTTTTCTTTTCTCTTTTTAAGTAACTCAAAAAGGAAGCCACGTGCTTGTTATCAAAAGTGCTATGGAAAGAAAGGAGGGGAAAAAACCCAGTTTATTTTAGCAAATTGTATGTTTTTCCACTTAACAATTCTACACTAGTAATGGTGTAACTCTCCAATATTTCCTTATAAAAAAGGCAAAGAGGAAGTGACAACTTATGCTCCAAATATTAAAAAATATATTTAAACATTTGATCAAGAAGGTTTTATATGTTTTGATTTTTGGTAACACAGGTGACACCAGAAATCACAAATTCAGTATGTTCCTACATTTCCCCTTCAGTCAAAAAACAAGTGGTGGAGAGATCTTGTGCTTGCTATTGAGGGAATGCAATGCCCAGGGGCCAATGAAAAATACCTAGAAATTGATCAATGGGAAAAGGGGCCCAAAGGAGTCGTGCATCTTCAGAATTGAATGAGATCATAATGTTTTTGGCCTATTCCCAAAGCTAAGACATCTCTGTGTTTACAGTTGGAGAGAAGGGGCTAGTGGAGTGGTTTTATAAATAAGATTAGTTATTATAGCTATAACTGAAGTCTCCAGGCAGGAGGCGTTATGATTCAGTCAGTGCTATACTGCCTCCTTTTTACTTCCAGCACCTAACTAGCATCCCATTCTTGATGCTTTCTAACAAATATAAAAATCTTCGCAACTGTTTAGATAAAACTGGAAGAAAAACAAAAAAAAGAAAGCCAAAGCTGACCATAAAAAAAGAAAGAGGATTGGGGTGGGGGGAGAAAAAAGGACAAGTATAGATTATACAGTTCAGGAAGTCCAGAATTATCGCAGAAATTAAAATGACTGGGAGGGAGGGTGCGGGGGGGGGGGGCAGGCACCAAGAAGAGCACCTAAAGCTAACAAATGGCTAAACTGGTTTATTTATATTCCCTCCCCATAATGTTCATAGGGGAGGAAAAAAATGTAATTTTAAAAGCATCGAACTAAAACAAATGCACACTGACCTTAGAAAATAAGATTCTGAATTTCATCATGATACCCTTTTTTCCTATAAAATTTACTTTTTTGCTTTGAAAGATTTCTTCATGGTGGATTTGCCCTTGCCAGGCAATTTCACTTCCTTTCTCACACTGGCTGCAGGCTTCTTTGAAGAGCTACCACTAGGTTTTTTGATGACTGGGGGTGAGGGTCTGGCTTTCTTGGCAGGAGTTTTGGCCTTAGGAGGGGCTTTCTTGGGCAGGGGCCTAGCTTTCCCTCGCTGGGCAGCTGGGACTTTAGGTGCAGGCTTGGACCCTCTCTGCTTCATGGATGCAGCCTTCCCTGGCGACTTGGCTGGGGTTTTCTTCTGCAACCTGTGAGAACCAAAGAGCAAAGGCAATTACTTAGTACTTGAGAGATTCACTTCACCAGGATGACCAGATACTTTGCCAAAAAAGAAATAGCAAAGGTAGAAGTCACCTAGGTTAAGAAGAGGAATGTGGGTTATTACTTTTTACCTAAAGGCTTTACTAAAATTGTATAAAAACTCAACCAATTCCTGAAGTCTACACATAATTCCATGTTTTTCCTAGAAAAATATGGAATTCTTTTTCTTCAAATAACCAAACTATGGACACACACACACACACACAGGTTTGACCAAAGAGTTATTACATATTCACAGTGTTTCACAAGTTTAGAGCTTCTAAATGCTGAAGAACAAGACAAATTCAAATGTGACACAAAGAATCTGAGAAGGATCCTGAACTGTTAACACACTTTTCACAGCCTCTCCTAGTGCTGTCACCTTCAGGTCTAAGAAGGGTTTTCCACACGTCCCCACCTTCTCTTAGGTGGTGGCTCTTCATCCTCAGAGTCCTCCTCTGATGACTCATCTTCATCTTCATCCTCATCTTTAGAATCATCTGGCTCTTTCTTTGGAAACAGAACTCCTGGGCTAGTAAGAAAACAAAAAGTTAGGTAAAGAGAAGTCCCATCAGGACAAGGAAAAGAATGTGAACCTAGGTATGCTCTTCCCTGGACATAACCCACTTCCTCCCATCCTCCCCAATTACGTCAAGTTAGGTTACAAATATCAGGTACAATTTAACCTACTTTGAACAAACATATGAAGTTATGACAAATCTATAAAAGTCCCAGACCACACCTCATTCCCTTCCTCCCTCCATTTAATAAAACTGATACTTCCATCATTTATTTAGTAAACAATTATTTAAGCTCCTGACATGTGTTTGGCACTGTTATCAGCCACTGAATATATAGCAGTGAATGGTCTATACAGCGGTGAACAGCCTACACAGCAGTATATATTTTTTGCCTTTATGATACTGGCAAAAGACCTCAAAAGTGTCATAAAGCCTGAATCTCTTCAAAGTTTTTGAGAAACTCAGTAAGGATATTCTAAATTTTCTTTGTCCTTGATGGTAGAAAACTTGATCCCACTGATTAATAAGTCCTTAAATTATAACACTGTACATGCATGATTTTAAGAATATTTAAACATTTGAAAAACTCCAATAATATACATTCAATCAAGTAACACTTATGTTTATGCACAAAGAACAATGTAAGAAAGCTACACTATACTGCTGAAATAGGTTTTAGTGGTACATGTCATGGCACTTTATTAGAAACGAAAGTGTAAGAAGATGAAAGCACGGGTACACAGAAAAATGCTTGGTCCATAGGAGGTGCTCAATACATTTTTTTGGTTAAATGAATAAATATGTATAAGAGACAAGTTTTCAAATAAATAGCCTTGTCTCTATAGTATGAAGAGGCAGATTAGAATTCTTAGAAGTAGCCAGTGCTCTCCGTACTTGGTGCTGGACCATTAAAACATATATAATCCTCTAATAATCTTCCTGTCATTACCGTGTACTTTATTCTTTACTAGAAGGAATGAACATCTAAATGACTGGCCAAGAATCTCAATGAAAATTCAACGCTTGATTTCAGGAACATGCGCCTAACAGTAAGTCCCAGCAGGATAGCCCCAATCCCCCTGTTCTTACATGAAGACCTTCAGCTCTAAAACAATACTGCCTTAAGTAGTCTTTATTTTCAAGTATATTCAGTTCAGTATAACAATAATAAGGGCAAAATAAGTTAAGCCAAACCTGTACTCTGGAGTCAGATTTTAAATTTGCAATGACCAACACTTCACATTATGGGCTAGGTGCTTACCTGGGGTAATAGGGAAAACAGAGCTGGAAGGTGCCACTGAATCCTTTACCAGAGATCTGTTCCATCCACCCATTCTTTTCGCATCTCTGTAGGGTTTTCTTCAGCAAATGCACTGAATAATAAATTCAGAAATGAAGAAAGTACTTATTTATTCAGATTTGATAATTCCCTCAACCACAATCAGTTATACATCAATTTATTGTCCTGACATGTGCTAAGTGAATCCCTTGTGGTCATAGAGATTTTTAACTAATTCACTAGATTATTCTTAAGTGTCCATAAATTTGGAAAGAGTTAAATTATAATGGGAAGAGACTTTACAGACCATTGTGTCAAATTCCTCATTGCACAGAAAGTGGAATAGAAGCCAAGGGTGGCTAATGACTTGCCCTACAGTCGTACATAAATGGTTAATAGCCAACTTAAAACTCAATCTCTCATTTCTATTCATTCGAACATCTACTGAGTGCCTGTAAGTACTGATAAGCACTTAGAAGGATATCTATAAAGAGAAAACCAATTTCTCAAGAATCAGCAAACAGTAACAAAACAATATCATGGCTCCCAAAGGCCTCACCAGTTCTCATCTTTCATATAAAAATACATTTTATAGTGATTCAGTGTCCAAATAAATAGCTGCCACTTTATTAGTGACACTGAAAAGGTTAATAACCAAATTCATCTTCTCTTATAACACTTGGTCAAAAGAGAAAACCACAGAATAATCTACAAGGTCAATACGCACAATTAAACACAGTATATATCTTAAGTAAAGAAAGAGAAAAAACAGCCATACGAGGGCTTCCCTGGTGCCGCAGTGGTTAAGAATCCACCTTCCAATGCAGGAGACACAGGTTTGAGTCCTGGTCCGGGAAGATCCCACATGCCGTGGAGCAACTAAGCCCGTGCACCACAACACCACAACTACTGAGCCTGTGGTCTAGAGCCCACGAGCCACAACTACTGAAGCCCGCGTGCTTAGAGCCCATGCCCCGCAACGAGAGAAGTCACCGCAATGAGAAGCCCACGCACCGCAACCAAGAGCAGCCCCTGCTCGCTGCAACTAGAGAAAGCCTGCGTGCAGCAATGAAGACCCAATGCAGCCAAAAATAAATAAATTTATTAAAAAAAAAAAGACTTCAAAATTAGCTTTTCATCTAAAACAATATATTCTAGTTTGTATTTTCTGTTACTTAATTTTCATATTCCTCACCCTACATCATTGTGCCTACTCTCATAGTTCACTGAGAAAATATACACTTTCACTAATCTGTATGTGATAATGCTGCTAAGGCAAGGTTTCTAATCTCAAATCACCACCTGACAGGGTAAATATACTTTACTGAAAAAAAGTATTTTCTGTTTAGGGCTTAAGTCAATAAGAAATAACCTAAGTGGTAAGTATTTTAAAACAGTGGCTTGGTTTCAGGGTGATATTAGATGTTCTGGTAAACATTCAGAAGTAGGTGAAAAGATACTATACTCGAGAGGTGTTTCGAACCTAGAAATTTGTCTCTATTATAATAAAAATAAATATCAGAAAAATCTTTAGAGCAAAGTAAAATCAAATTCTGATCCTCAGCAGACACTGTAAATCAAGGATAAGTCTTGATTCTTTTTTTGTAAATAATGAAGTTTGTGAAGTTGTTTCCTCTTGGTTTTCAGTCAGTAGTTAGTGCTTTATCATTAACAGCATGATCTCTAGGGATCCCTTCACAAGACAATCCCCTGGATCCCCGTTAAATGTGCTCAACTCTGAGTCTTACTTTGATAGTTAGAATTGGTCCCTGGGTGGTTCTCCAGGACATACTTCTTCAGAGCAGTGGTGGAGCAGGTCTTCGGCTCATTCATGGCAGCAATTGCAGACAAGATTGCATATTCCATCAGGCTTCCACCAAGCAGGGGCTTCTCCCCTGATTTCTTCAGCTGTTTTCCAAGGAGGAAGAGAAAAGCATCAAGACAACACTCTCCCAAAGCAGGTCAAGACAAGACTCCTCTGCACCAGGTGGGTCGGAGTTCCTGCATTAGCACAGATATGTTTTACAATAAATTGTCAGGTTAGGGACTTTCTCTTCCCACTCTTCAGGTATTCAACCTAACTGAGGAGTCCCAACCCTCCTAGGGATATTTTCTCCTTCTATCCACCCCTCCATCCAACTGAAAATAGCAAAAGCCAACCTAACCTAAAGAGAGTGACAGCTCTACTCCAATAAGGAGCTTAACTTGTTATGACCCCAATAAATTAACACTTTTGAGAATACTTGCTTTTTTCTGAATCTGAAAAACGGAGTATTTATAAAAATAATAAATAGCCTTTTTAATCTTGTAAGAAAAATGGCAAAGGAAAAGTTTGATAAATATTTAGGGTATCATACAAAAGAAAATTATATAACATACTTCAAGGACAAAAGGCTGGGGAACAAAGGTTAACACCAATAAGCAAAAAGGTTAAAGGACAAACTGAGGTATGGTCTACAATAGTGAGTCTCAAAAGAAAGGTCCACAAACCCCCTGGGGTTCCCGAGATCCCTTCAGAGGATCTGCAAGGTTAAAACTATTTTCATAATAATACTAAGATGTGATTTGCCTTTTTCATTGTGATGACATTTGCACTAATAGTGGAAAAACAATGATGGGTAAAACCGCTGCTACCTGTGGAGGCACAGAAATGTACCAGTAGTTACTGCATTCTTTACTGCTATATGCTTATGGTTAAAAGAAAGAAAGAAAGAAAAAAAACCCAGTTTCACTTAGGAATGTCCTTGATATAAAAATGATTTTATTAACTCTCAACTCCAATGCATGTCTTTTTGATACTTTTGATGGGGCAAAGTGAGAAGAATTTATAAAGCATGTCAGCTGCATCTGGAGGGATGGTGATAGTCTCAAGGAAAAGCACCTAGTGATTGAGTTGTGAGCTGAATTAGCTGCATTTTTCATGGAATATCCTTTTTATTTGAAGGAACAGTTAACAGATAAACTATGGTTAATCAGACTTGGGTATCTGGTAGTCCTCTTCTTGAAAATGAATTAAGTGAGCCCGTCATATCAAGGAAAACAACTAAGAGTATTTGTTGCCAATGATAAGTACAACTTTTCAAGAGAAAATTTAAATTGTGGAAAACTTGTATCTACCATCATGAGCACAATAATTTCCCAATACTTAAACGTTGTTCTGATGAGATCAGTGGGTGATATTAATGAATATGATTTTTGTTACTGTTTGATGAAATGTGCTAATATTTTAAAAACTGCATAATTCAATGAACTACTATTCTTCAAATGACCAAGTGATAAAATTATGGTTAAAAGATACACTCAAAGTTCAAGACAGACCAAAGGATTTTAAGGTAACAGAGTACAACGAGTTCACTGATAAGGTTTCAGGTTCCACATGGCACCTTTAACATACTTTAATACCACAAAACCAATTAATGTAATATCATATTAAAAGAATAAAGGACAAAAGCCAAATGATCACCTCAAGAGTTTTAGAAAAAGCATTTGACAAATCCAAGAGCCATTCATAATAAAGTTCCAACAAACCAGTAACAGAAGAGAACTTTCTCAATCTGATAATAGGCATCTATGAAAACCCCACAGTTTTAACGGTGAAAGAATGAATGTTTTCCCTTTAAGATGGGTAAAAAGATGAAGACATCTACTCTCATCATTGCACTGGAGGTTCTATCCAGTGCAATTGGGCATGGAGGAAAAAAAAAAAAAAAAAAAAGACATCCAGATTGGAAAGGAGGAAGTAAAATGGTCTATTTGCAGATGACATTATCCTATATGTAGAAAATCCTAGGGAATCCACCCCAAAATCCCAAGGAACCCACAAAAAAACTCTAGAACTGGGCTTCCTTGGTGGCGCAGTGGTTAAGAATCTGCCTGCTAATGCAGGGGACACGGGTTCGAGCCCTGATCCAGGAGGATCCCACATGCCATGGAGCAACTAAGCCCGTGCACCACAACTACCGAAGCCCGTGTGCCTAGAGCCCATGCTCCACAACAAGAGAAGCCACCCCAATGAGAAGCCCGTGCACCACAAACAGGAGTAGCCCCCGCTCACCATAACTAGAGAAAGCCCGCATGCAGCAATGAAGCCACAAAGCAGTCAAAAATAAAAGTTAAAAAAAAAATTTATAGAAAAAAACACTCTAGAACTAATAAATGAGTTCAGCAAGTCACAGGATACAAGATCAAAAGACAAACCAACTGTATTTCTATAGGCTAGCAATGAGCAATCTGAAAATGAAAATAAGAAAATTCCATTCACAATAGCATGGAAAAAGAGTAAAATATTTAGGAATAAATTTAACAAAAGAAATATAAGAACTGTACACTGAAAACTACAAAACACTGCTGAGAGAAGTTAAAGATCTAAATAAATGAAGAGACAGTGAATGTCCATGGATAGGAAAACTCAACATTGTAAAGACAGTGATTCTTCCCAAATTGATCTATAGGTTCAATGCAATCTCTACCAAAATCCTAGCTGGATTTTTTTGTGAAAATTGACAAGTGAATCCTAAAATTCATACGGAAATGCATAAGATCCAGAATAGTCAAAATAATTTTGAAAAAGAAAAAGTCGAGGACTTATATTCCCCAACTTCAAAACTTACTACAAAGCTACAATCATCAAGACAGCATGATCATGGCATGAGGATTCACATACAGATCAATGGAACAGAACTGAATCCAGAAATAAACCCTTACACTCATGGTCAATTAAGTTTTGATAAAGGTACCAAGGCAATTCAGTGAGAAAGGGACAGTCTTTTCATTAATGGTTTTGGGACAATTGGATGTCCACATGCAAAAACATGAATTTATAACCCCTACCTCACACCATAAACAAAACAACTTAAAATGTATCACAGACCTAAATGTAAGAGCTAAAGCCATAAAACTCTTAAAAGAAAAATAGGAGTAAATCTTCCTGATCTTAAGCTAGGCAATAATTTATTAGATATGTCACCAATAATACAAGCAATTAAAAAAAATGATAAACTGGACTTCATCAAAATTAAACACTTGTGCTTCAAAAGGCACCATTAAGAAAGTGAAAGCACGGGTTTAGGAGAAAATATTTGCAAATCGTGTATCTGATAAGGAATTTGTATCTAGTTATATAACTCACAACTCAATAATAAAACAAATAGCTCAATTTTAAAAATAGACCAAGGATCTGAATAGACATTTACCAAAGAAGATAAATAAATGTCCATTAAGCACATGAAAAAATGGTCAACATCAGTAGTCTTAGGGGAATGCCTAACAAAACCATGAGACACCACTTTGTATTCACTAGTATGGCTATAATTTAAAAAAGACAATAAACGTGGGGCAAAGATAAGGAGAAACTGGAACCCTTATACATACATTGTTGGTGGGAATGCAAAATGATGCAGCCACTTGGGCAGTTTCTTAAAACAAATTTACCATATAGTCCAGGCAGTTCACACTCCTACTTATATACCCGAGGGAAATAAAAATGTATATCCGCACAAAGATTTGGGCATAAATGTTCATAGGCAACATTAACCATAATAGCTAAAAAGTAGAAATAACCCAACTTGTGAATGGATAAACAACGTGTGTCAGATCCATACAGTGGAATACTATTTGGCAATAAAAGGAATGAAAGTATTGATTCATGCTGCAACATGGATAAACCTAAAAAAATATTATGCTAAGTGAAAGACGTCAGACACAAAAGACCACATAATGTATGATTTTACCTACGTGAAATATGTAAAAAGGCAAATCTATACAGAGAAAAAATAGATCAACAGGTTGGATGGGGATGGGAACAGGGAGTGATGCAAACGGGCTCAAGAGATCTTTTTTGGGTGATGGAAATGCTCTAAAATTGGACGGTGGTGATGGTTATACAACACTGTAAATTTACTAAGAATCACTGAATTATACATTGTAACATAAAATGATTGTATCTTATGGTGTATAAATCATACTTCAATAAAGCTATTACAAAATACTATCATTTGTTGAGTTTTGGTATACTATCAAAGAATAGTATCAACCTCTACCTGAAAATTATCTTAAAATACTCCACATGTATCTACCTGTACTCCTGTGTGAGCTGGATTTTCTTCATAGATGTAACCCAAAATATATTAGAACAGATACCAGCTGTCTTCTATTAAGCTAGACAATAAAGACTTTTGTAAAAATGTAATAGATAGTAACCCTCTTCTTATTAAAATTTTTTTTATTTTGGGAAATACAGGGTTTTTTTTGGTCGTGCCACGTGGCATATGCAGAATCTTAGTTCCCTGATCAGGGAACAAACCTGTATCCCCTGCACTGGGAGCACAGAGCCTTAACCACTGGACCTCCAGGGAAGTCCCATGGGAAATACAGTTTTCATAAAAAGTGTTATTTATGTTACATGCAATGGGTTTCTTATTTTTTTAATGAATTAATATTTAAAATTTTCCTCAGTTGTAATTTCTAATATGGTAAGTATTGATCCGCACAACCTACATAAACAAAAGCTCTTGGGGCCCTCAGTACATTTCTGGAGCATAAGGAGGTCCTGAAACCACAACTTTTGAGAACTACTTCTCTACAACCAAGTCTTTTTAGCCTCTAACCTGGAATGTCCCAGAAGCACCTTTGCCAGTTATTTGTTCTAACTGGCCTCTCTCTACTGCTCTCTGCAGAGCATTCTTCAACAGCTGAGGCCTGCAGAGAAAACATAAAATAACAATAAATATATTAATGAAGGTAAGATTTGAAGAAAACAGAACCAGGATTATTCTAAAGAACTAAAGTTCTGATTCCTATTATATGTGTAGTACTTTGTTAAAACAGTAAAGTAATAAATTGTTGGCACCCTTAATAAACGGTATTTCTTTTTTCTTCAAGCAAAGAAGCTAAGTCATTACCTGTACATACAGAACCATGAACCATACAGAACCAATTTCCAACTTGCCAGGGCACTCCAAAAGCCTCTTTTTTACCATCAGACTACAATAGCAACCAAACTTTGTAATCAAGCAAAGAATGGCTATCTTTAAAGTCCCGTCTAATTCTGATATTCTCTGCGGCAAAATTCCTGATTTTTTAAAAGTATATACACATTAACAAAAAATGGAGTTGTTTCTTACAAACCAGTATCTAAGGTCAGCCTAATAAAACACATTCCATGAGAAAGAAATGGGTTGGTTGCTTTTAACATAGTATCTCTGCCTTAAGAGGGTTGTATTAAAAAAAGCAAAAACAAAAACAACTAGGTCATCAAAACCAAATGGCAGGCAAGAAGAAATTGAGTATCATTAAAAACATAAGAACAGGAATTCCCTGGTGGTCCAGTGGTAAAGAATTCGCCTTCCAATGCAGGGGCTGCAGGTTTGATCCCTGGTCCAGGAACTAAGATCCCACATGCCACAACTAAGCCCAGGTGCCACAACTACTGAGCTTGTGCGCCTCAATGAGAGAGCCCGCGTGCCGCAAACTGCAGAGTCCACACGCTCTGGAGCCTGCGCGCCACGCTAGAGAGAGAAAACCTGCACATCACTACCAGAGAGAAACCCGTGTGCTGCAACCAAGGCCTTGACACAGCCAAAAAAATAAAAGTAAATAAAATAAAATATTAAAACAAAAACAAAACAGAAACACATAAGAACAAAGTGTTGAGGCAAGAGCTGCTCTGTCAAGGAGCAATGGTCTGAACGGTGGGTGAAGAATGTCAGGTGCAGGGAGAAATCAATCAAGTTGACTTAGGGCTTAAAGTGGTCTGTGGTATGGAACAAGACAAAATGGAAAGCTATACACCTAGGCCAACAACAGGACATCTGAAGAAAGGGTTAATCATAACCCAAAAGTTAAGAGATGTGTTTTGCCACACCTCCCCAGAATTACTAGAATAGCACCCAAGGAGCAGAAAATCATGAGACTTCTTTGAAACTGATTACTTGATAAGTTAAGTTGAAAAGATGAACAACTTGGCAGCCCACTGAGGGGCAGAATGATGAGGGCCAAACTATTACCACTTGAGGTGATTTATCGAGTTTTGATACTTTTGTTTGGAGAAGAAATTTTGAATCTTTTCTCTAACCACTAAACATTACAGCCTGAGCTGACACTAGAATTATTAATTACATTATCCACATGTTTGGGGTAGAAGGGTGGAGGGGATCCCCTGTTCTAACAGGATGCTAAAGAGCAGAAACCATGCTATCAAATCTTGTACATCCTGACACTCCAAATGAAGAAACTCCCTCTCCACCAAATCACAATCCAAGTATTTCTAAGCCAGTGCTATTCCATTCAGGACAAATATGATTTATGCCATAACCCAAAACACACTCAAAGTCATTCACCTCACAAGCATTTACTGAGTATTTATTATGCTTATGCAGGAATAAACACTTAGATCTAGTCACTAAACTCAAGGAATTTAAGAGATGATGAATACATAATGATTATGGTAGAGAATAACAAGGTTCAGGGTTGAAGTATGCGCATAGAGCTTTGGGAACACAATTGAAGGAATGATTTAACTGTCAAACAATTTTACTATTAGTTGCTCTGTAAGTTAAGATTCCAATGGAGGATCATACAGCTTAAGTTAAACACAAACCCTAGTCTCTTGTTATCAAATTAAACAACTAATCTGAGAAGAATCTTCTTTTTTTTTGGCCATGCCGCAATGCTTGCGGGATCCTAGTTCCTCGACCAGGGATCAAACCCAGGCTCTTGGCAGTGAAAGCTTGGAGTCTTAACCACTGGACCGCCAGGGAATTCCCTGAGAAGAGTCTTCTTAACGAAGGTTCAAATGCTTCAGGAATGAGTTATCAGTTAATTGGGTTCCGTTAACATTTTTGTTTTCTCAGCAATACCAGTCATTACCTTAGCATACACCTTATCCTGGGCCTTTAGAAATCTCACTGTTCTATCACTCACTCCTACCTTCAGGTAAAACCACACTTACCAAGTGCTTCAAAGCTTCTCAGATTGGCCCTTTCTCTCTCATCACTGTTATAACCTTAGTACAAGCCACCATGGTCTCCCTTCTGGGCACTGTGCTGCTGTTTTCATAGTGCACACCACTATTAGGTCAATAAGCCTATAAAGGCCTCCTTTAATATGTGACTCAGTTGATCAGGTGTCAGGTCTTAATGCTTCCACCCAGCTTCAAAGCTTTCCATGGCCTGGTGCCAGCCCTTGTTAGTCTAGATCCAGGCAGGCTTCTTTCCGTTCCGCAAAAAGAATGCCAACTCCTGCCTCTGAAATTTTTTCATGAAGCTCCTTTAAGATGCCTTCTCCACTCTATCATCACATCTAAATTCTACACATTCTCTAGACCCATCTCAATGGGATGGGACCCGACTGGATCCTCATCTTGATTGGATGGGGCCCAATCAATCCCCATCTTTTTAACTCACTGCTAACTCCCAGGCACAATTCCTTTTTCTGAAAAATTCCAGTCTGTATCACACCATTCTGTACCTATGATGGTGCTAACTAAGTGCTGCTGTAAATGTTTTTACATGTATGGAATAAACAAGAGAATACAACAACCCCATTGCCCATACTTTACTGAATGGGAAAAGTTAAGTGACAGAAAAATTAAGTCATTTCTCCCAGGTCACATAGCCAGGCCGTGGAAGAACCAGGTTTATAAACTTGAACAGTCTGATTCCAGATTTTGCATTTTTACTTACTATGCTAGATAGGCCTGCACTTTCCAATATAAGACAGCCCTGGACAGTGGAAAAAGCAAGAGGTTATAATGGAAAAATGAAATAAAGTTCTGCTTTCACCAGTGAATAGCCAAGTAACCCAGGGTAAGATTTTTATCAGCAAAATTGAGGCAGGAATACCTATTTTTAAGTCTATTTTGAGAATTACAGAAAACAATGCAAAATAAAATGTTTTTAAAGCCCTATACAAATTTATTTTATACAGTTTGTTATAACAAATTTTTATATTTATTGTAACAAGTTTTTCTTTTTAAAAATAAGATGGAATAGACCAGTTTAATTAGAAAGCAGGGAATAGTGAGTGATTGTTGGTGGCTATGTTTTTCAACTGTGGAGAAAGTCTGCACTGAGAGAGATCAAAACGAAAGCAATGCACAAAGCGAATGGAAGGTAAAGGAGGGAGTGGCAGGAATCTAAGAGTTACATCAATCTGTTAGAAACGCATGGACAGAATTAAGAAGATCAAAAGACTCTTGAAACTACTTAAAGAGTTTAAACTGTTAAGAAATTAAGGGATCTCCAAAGAAATTATTATGTTTAGAGAAAAGTATAGGGGGTAAAATTGAATCTTGGGCTATGTTCATATTTTGGTATGCACAGAAAGAGAAAAATCAAGAGAATACGATGAAGTTACACCATACACAAGGATTAGACATTAAAATTTGATTTCTAATGTCATAAGACAGCATTACCTTTGAGAGCACCTTCTTAGAGGCCAACCCAAAGCCTATGTAAAGCCAACATACCCCATTTTTCTCTAGGGTTGCAAAAAACATTGTTAATAAAGGAGGTGACTTGCATGTTATATAAAAACACTGTCTTTAAACATTAGAATCATATTTAGTATGGTGTGATGCTCATACCATGAGAACCACGTTGGAATTGAGACTCACTAATAATACTAACGTTAGATGAGTTATTATTACGTGCCAGGCACTGTTATTTATTTATTTATTTGGCTGTGTCGGGCCTTAGTTGTGGCACGTGGGATTTTTGTTGTGGCATGCAGGATGCTTTTTTTTTTTAAGTTGTGGCATGTGGACTCTTAGCTGCAGCAGCATTCGGGATCTAGCTCCCAGACCAGGAATCAAGTTCTGGCCCCCTGCACTGGGAGCGCAGTCTTCACTACTGGACCACCAGGGAAGTCTCAGGCACTGTTCTAAGTGCTTAACACATACTAAGGTTCCTAACAACTCTATGACTTATACACTGTTTATCAATGAGGAAACCAAGACACAAAGAGATAACTTATTCAGAGATATAAAGCTAGAAATGACAGACTCAGGATTTAAACATAAGGGTCGGGTTCCAAGGTCTGTGCTCTTTACCACAATGCTCTACAGCCTCCAGTGTATGGCAGCAGAAATTCATGTCTCATCTCGTATGCTCCAGGGCAAAAGTTCCTTGAGTGAAATGGCCAGGTGAAGTGCCCATATTAGTTTACTCATTCAACTAATATTTACTGAGCATGTACTGTGTGCTAGGCTTGGGAAAAACAGAAGTGAACAATATAAGAATCTGCCATTTTGGGCTTCCCTGGTGGCGCAGTGGTTGAGAGTCCACCTGCCGATGCAGGGGACGCGGGTTCGTGCCCCGGTCCAGGAAGATCCTACATGCCGCGGAGAGGCTGGGCCCGTGAGCCACGGCCCCTGAGCCTGCGCGCCCGGAGCCTGTGCTCAGCAATGGGAGAGGCCACAACAGTGAGAGGCCCACGTACCGCAAAAAAAAAAAAAAATCTGCCATTTTAATGGGATAAACAGGTAATTTTAAAAAAGGCAAATAAAATACACAGTACGTTAGAATATGATGAGTGCTATGGAGAAAAATAAGGCAGAGAAATAGAATTCTGCACACTGGGAGAGGAGGGAAAGGTTGCAAATGTAAGTTAAATTGTCCTATCAACCAAATGCAATGAGTGGACCATGTCTGGATATTGACTTGAAAAAACCAACTGTAAAAAGTCATTTTGGAGACAACTGAGGACATCTGAACGTGGCCTGGGTACTGGATAATGTTAAGGAATTATTAGTTTAGTTAGGAATTAGGTTAGTATGATGGTTATGTTCTCTCTACATTTATGTGTATGTCTGAAAATTTCCAAAATAAAATGTTAAAAAATGGTATGGTAATCAAGGGAGGCATGTGGTGATGACACGAGAGTAAAAACTTAAAGGAAGTGAAAGAGTGAGTAAGGTGGGTTATGGGGGAAAACCACCCATGCAAAGGGAACAGCAAGTGTGAAGTCTCTGAGGCCAGTAAGGGAGAGAAGAGTAGTAGGAGATTAGGCTGGAGATGCAATGGAAGCATAGTGTCTTGTAGGCCATTTTAAAGACTCTAGCTTTAAACTTTTTAACTGTGAGGTGGCTGGGAAGCCACTGGGAGGTCTGAGCAGCAAGGTGGTATGGTCGAACTTACATTTTATTATTATTATTATTTTTTTTTTTGTGGTACATGGGCCTCTCACTGTTGTGGCCTCTCCCGTTGCGGAGCACAGGCTCCGGACGCGCAGGCTCAGCGGCCATGGCTCACGGGCCCAGCCGCTCCGCGGCATGTGGGATCTTCCCGGACCAGGGCACGAACCCGTGTCCCCTGCATCGGTAGGCGGACTCTCAACCACTGCGCCACCAGGGAAGCCCCTAACTTACATTTTAAAAGTCTCACTCTCACTGCTATGTTAAGAACAGACTGAAAGGGAGGGAGCATGGGAGAAGTAGGAGATTACTGCTCTAATGCATGTGAGAGATGATGGTGGCTTCGAAAAGAGTGAAAATAGTGAAGGTAATGAAAAGAGATCTGTTTATGAATATATTTTAAAGACAAAGTAATTTTTTATAGATTACATTTAGGTGTGAGATAAAGAGACCAGGACAAACCCAAGGTTTTTGGCTTCAGCAACTGAAAAGATGTTATTGCCCCTAACTGAGATGGAGAAGGTATAGAAAGTACAGGGCCTTTCTGGTGGGGCGGGAGAAATGGGGCAGGAGGGACAGGCGAGGGTGGGGTGGGGATCAAGAGTTTAGTTTTGGACATGTGAAATTAGCCACACAAGCGGTGATGTCAAATAGGTGTCTGTATATATAAATGTAGAGTTAGGAGGGAGGTATGGGCCAGATTTATATACCTGTATACTAGTATTGTATAGGTGCTATTTAAAGCTTTGAGAATGGAAAGAATTACCATTCATTCAAAGTGAATGTGGACAGAAAAGACAAGAGGCCTAAGGTCTAACCATGGGGCACTTGTACATTAAGGAGGCAAGAGATGGGAAATCAGGAATCCTTAGGAGGCTGAGAAAGAATGGGTGGGTAGTGAAGCTGGAGGTAAATCAGAAAGGTGTGTGTGGTGTTCTGAAAGGCAAGTGAAGAAAGTGTTTCAAGCAGGTGGGAGCCATCAACTGTGTCAAATGCTGTAGAAAGACCACCAAGTAAGTCAAGGACTATGAATTGACTACTGTAATTTGCAATGTGGAGGCCCTCAGTGACAATGACAGGAAGAAGAATTTCAGGTAAAATGGTAGGGGTAATGTGTGACAAAAGTGGGTTTAAGACAAAGTAGGAGGAGAGAAATTATAGGCAGCAAGTATAGATAGACAACTCATACTTTAAAACTGTACTCTTCTTGTTCTTTTGTTCGGTCAAGCGTTAAGTATGGCTAAACTTTCACGTTAAATATATGTATGGCAGGATTCCACTACAGTCAGTGGTAGAGAAAATCAAAGTAAAGGAAAAAAGAGCTTCAAAGAAAGAAGTTACCATTTAATAAGGTAATAAGAAAAGGTCTTCAAGTTCATCATCATCTATGGGCTGACAACCCACCTATTTTCGGGCAAATTTTGTTTCAACATAAAATGACAACGGGACATCTTCCCAAAGACATGGAGCAAAGTTACGCTGCAATCACCAACATGTCTCATGTAAGTAAAGTAGAACCGTAAGGAAAGAAAAAAGCTGGGGGAGGATACAGTCTCTAGTCACCAAAAACAGAGTAAAAAGAGATAAGAGTGAAATGTATTTCCATCTTTAAACGTGCCAAACAATGCGTATTGGATCCAAAGTTATATCTGTGGCTCATAATCAGGGTATAAGAAGCATGAAAAAATCCGGATATTAATTTCAAATTTTCTGCTTCTATGATTCCCCTTTCTTTGACACTTTCACTAACTGGCCACTCTGAAGACCACTAAGTGCTCTTCTGAGAATGTGGCTTCTGGGCTGAAACCCCTGCAATTCTAACTGTATGCCTCAGTAATCCAAAGTAAATACCAGTACTAAACTATATCAGGACAATGGGCATCCAATACAGAAACTGTCTATAGAAAGGACTCTGGATTAAACACAATTTCCCAGAAGTCACTATAACAAAGATGTTATACAAACACATTCAAAACACAAACTCTGTGAATTACAAATTTAAACAATGTGTCTGCCTCAATCCACAAGCACATGTGACAATCTAATCAGTCTAGATGCTTTTAAGTGGCAATTATTTTACAAATGAATTACTATCAAAATTCTCTCAGAATTTTACATTAAATGTTTAAATGATGAAAATATTATGCTATTTCTATGAAGAAGTGCTACAGAAGCCTGAAGTCTCCTATGTCCTCAGTTATACCCTAAATAAAAAATAATGAGCTACCAGCCACCTCATTCCCTATTAGGATGGCTACTATCAATCAAAAAACAAACAAAAAAACACCAGAAATAAGTGTTGGTGAAGATATGGAGAAATCAGAACCCCTGTGCACTGATGGTGGGAATGTAAAATGGTACAGTCACTGTGGAAAGCGGTGTGGTGGTTCTTTACATAGTTAAAAATAGAATTACCATATCATCCAGAAATTCTTCTTCTGGGTATTTGAAAACAGGGTCTCAAAGAGATATTAGTACACAAATGTTCACAGCAGCATTATTTCACAATAGCTAAAACATGAAAGCAACCCAAGTGTCCAATGACAGGTGAACGGACAAACAAAAGGACAGACAAAATGTAGTATATACATACAATGGAATATTATTCAGCCTTAAAAAGAAAGGAAATTCTCTAACACACACAACAACATGGATGAACCTTAAGGACATTATGCTAAGTGAAATAAGCCAGTCACAAAATATATTGTATGATTCTACTTATATAAGGTATGCACCTAGAGTAGTCAAACATTGTAGTGACAAAGTAGAATGGTGGCTGCTAGGGACTGGGGGATAAGGGGGAACAGGGAGTTCTTGTTTAATGGGTACAGAGTTACAGTTTTACAAGATGAAAAGAGTTCTGGAGATGGGTGGTGGCGATGGTAGCACACTATGGAAGTATTTAATACAACTAAACACTGTTACCACTACAAATGGTTAAGAAAGTAAATTTTACATTCATATGTATTTTAACACAATAAAAAAATTTAAATAAGCATCTGAGAGGACATAGTTTAATGCTGAATATTCTAGCAGCTGACATCATGAAAAGTTACTCCATCGGAGTCTTGTGCAAGTCCACATGCGGTTTGAGTTTCAAAAAGAAACTACATATGGAGATACGAAAAGGAAAATATAATGGGACAAAAAATAAAAACCACAAAAAAAGGTTTTATTCCTAGCTCAACTGAAAGTAATCCTTACTGAATATTTAATCTTTCTCCTTTCTCATGAAAAAGGGGCTAAGGAAGTAACACAGACATCTGTGTTTGTCCAGGCCTCTGGCTCATACCTGATGTCCACTCTAAGTTTAGGGTAATACTGAGACACGTATTTCCTGATGAGACTGTAGGAAGCTTCTTTAGGTTCACAAAGGCGAGTAAAGGCCAGTGGGAGGATATCCTCCAATTTTACTTGTGGTTCTGGATCCACTGCAGAGCTCCTGTTCTGAAATGTAATATCAAAAATTATCATCATTACAGGATATACAGCTTTCTTTTCTAATGCTTCTATATTCAACTCAAGGGCTTTCCCAAGCTGACTGCCAAATCAAATAAGCAAAAGAAAACTATTCCTTTTTAGCACATTCAAATAATTCATACCACAGTGGTGTAATGTCACTTGAGTGGCAATTTCTTTGAGATAAACGTTTCAGGGACTTCCCTGGTGGCGCAGTGGTTAAGAATCAGCCTGCCAACGCAGGGGACACGGGTTCGATCCCGGTCCGGGAAGATCCCACATGTTGCGGAGCAACTAAGCCCGTGCACCACAACTACTGAGCCTGCGCTCTAGAGCCCACGAGCCACAACTACTGAGCCCGCATGCCACAACTACTGAGCCCGCGTGCCACAACTACTGAAGCCAGCACACCTAGAGCCTGTGCTCTGCAACAAAGAGAAGCCACCGCAATGAGAAGCCCGCACACCGCAATGAAGAGTAGCCCCTGCTCGCCGCAACTAGGAAAGCCCACGCGCAGCAACGAAGACCCAACACAGCCAGAGGTTAAAAAAAAAAAAAAATTGAACTGGGAGAGTTAAAAATATATATAAAAATTAAAAGGTATTAAAAGTCTTAATTCATTCTTCAATAACAAAGAATGAAAAGGATCATGCAGCCTTCAATAACAAAGAATGAAAAGGATCATGCAGCACCAGACCGCACTGTACAAAAAAGTTCATTTTGAAAGTTTGAAAGCCTTATAAAGAAAGTACAAAAATCTCCAGTGCTGTAACACTGGAGATGTAGAGGAAGAGTCATGATTTCAATTACTGACACAGAGGAAATATTATGTATTTCACTTTATTATCGTATACTTTCCATAAATGAAATTATGTGCCTGGAGGAGGGGGAGTGTTAGTATCTACAAAAAAGAAAAACTGGCTTAAGGTATAGTTTTAGGGTCTAATATTAGGTAAACATGTACTTGTATGCCTCTTCTAGTTTAAAAGGTATTTCACAAAAAAGCAGTATAATTCATACAGCTGCCCGTAGTTCAACAGAAGGCAGTTAGGCCCATGGGCTCCGGGGCTGGGGTGCCTGGAGTCGCACACTGTCCCGTCTACTCTCTGGCTGAATCATAATGAGCAAATGAATTATAACCTCTCCAGGCCTTCACAGAAAGGCTGCATCCTGCACAGTGCACACAGTGAACACTCAGTAAACACTGTATTGTTAGCAGTAATAATAGTATTACAGTGCTCAATCAAACTGGTACAGACTTCTTACCTTTCTGTTTCTGGACTTCTGAGGTGTTTTTCTTGATTTCTGGACCACAATAAAACTCCCGGAAGCACCTTTTCCTTTTACCTAAAGTAAATTAACTTTAGTTGCAATAACAGGTATTTTTATTTTAAATTATTCTGGTACTCATATTGGTAACTTTATACTAGACTAAGCGAATTATTACAGGGCATGGTGATGCAAGAACTAATGTAAAGTGCTACTGAACTCTTCAGAGAAAAAAGAATGGATGAGTCAAAAGACTTGGGATCAAATCCTATTTATGGTACCATTTAGCTATTCAATACTGGAAAACCTTGTAAACCCTCTGAGCTTTTGTTTCCTCCTCTACAAAAATGGTGATATCAGGTTAAACAGTCTACTATAAGCTTTCAAAAAAAAAAAAGGGAGAAAACCTCACCTGAAAGGAAGACAGCTCCTTGGCAAAAGTTCAGGCCTAGTTAATCTCAGTACACAATGCTTCCTACAGTTTGCCCGTTACAGATTATTACTGCATATGGGAAAGGTTATCTAGCAATTTTAGACATTGCACATGACGGTATGTGGAAGTCTTAGAATGTACTTCCACAGTTTATGAAGTGCTGTCATAGAACCTCACATTAACCTGAGTCCTCCACACCTTAGCTTCACCTACACTGCTGTGAATACAGCAATCAAACGGAAATGCTTTCAGCCTATAAACTTGTTGACGCATCAACTGAGGGTCAGCCTATGAGGCAAAATAGGTCACAAACTATATTTTCCAAAAGAAAAACATGAAGCCAGCTAATAAACTGTGCTGATATATACTATGATACTAGTTATAATGGTTAGATAATATATTTTAAGCAATGATTATTTTAAAGGCCATTTATATATCAGTTTTACAACATTTTGAGAAAGGTAGAATGTAAGCTCCATCACAGCACTGTTTTACTCACAGATGGACCCCCAAGCACCTGGCACACAGGACACACTCGATAATATATTTGTGGAGTTAAGTACTTGTTGAAAGTTCCTAAGAGGAATTTAAATGCCTGAGTGGCACAGAATTCTGTATTAATCAAACCATGCAGAAAGATATAGAAAAAAGGCAATAGGACTCTGGGAATGCAGTGAACTAGATCTTCAGAACCATTTCTGCTATTACCACGGGACCTTGGTAGTTACTTCCTCCCTCTGGACCTCTGAAGATTGACAGGAAAGTTCATTCTAGCTTTAGATTTTTATGATCTTAAACAATTTTCTTTTTAAGTTGAGGTATAGTTGATTTACAATATTATATTAGTTTCAGGTTACACTATAGTGATTCAAAAATTTTATAGATTATACTCCACTTAAAATTATTATAAAATACTGGCTATATTCGCTGTGTTGTACAAAATATCCTCATAGCTCTAAGTAAAGTTTTGATGTACTATGCAAAGTAACATGGATTTATGCCTGAAATCAATATTGGTTTTAGTATTATTCTCAATTCATTCAGGTTTATCTGATGCTCCCAAAAGCCTTAATAGTTTCAGATACTAATAAGTTAAGGTGAACCTATGTGCAAATCTAATTTATAATGATAACCAGTCTAGCCACAGAAGTTAAGCCTTAAAACTAACAACCCTAAGACAAGAACAATTACCTCTTCTGCTGCTGCAGTAACTGGACTCCTCAACCCCACTTCTAATCTGCAGCACTACATAATCTCAAGCACAAGCAGCCCCCGCAAAAGTCCAATTAAAAGTACAGGCCGCTAGAAAAAAAGTTACATTACCATACTGCTTCTGTTCCCTAGAATAGTTATCTTTAAGCTTTTCATCATCATGTTAACTTATTTTAACTAACAAATTCACAAAGCACAAAAAGCCTAAATGTTACTAAATATGGATTTACAGCTAATACATGTTGAAAAGATCTTATTACAAACAACCATTTAATACCTGTTTGATAACACCTCTATTTAATTCTCTTTTCAGTGCTTGTTTAAGGAGGTAGCCCCTTCTCTCCAGCTCCAGAGAAGGGTACTTATGGATGATATATTTTCGAATAGCAACCACGGATGCACCACTCTTCTGGAAGCATGCCTAGGAAACAGATTTATCAAACCATACACATTAATTTAAACTAGCTGTTTTTCATGTTTTCTGACACCTATGTTTTCAAAATAAATTATTTTGGAAGTGAACTTGATAATGGATGATAAAAATGGCAGGAAAGAGGGAACAGTATTGCAGGTAACTTCAGTTCATCATGGCTGTGGAGAAATACAGAATTAACAATATTTCTGCAACAATTTTAAATTGTTCAAAACAGCCAAAGAGAAGATACAACATGTGAACAACATTCTGTGTGTTAATGAAGAAGTCCTTTCCATTCTAATTCTATTCTGCATTTAGAAGACAGATCTTTAGCATTAAAGTGAGGAAAGCAGGGCATTTCTATCCCTTGTAGGTTCTCAGATCTGGCCCATTTTATGGAATGAACTTCAGCACACCAGAACCAGTATTCCTCTGCAGGCTTTGTGTGAATGCCAGCAGATACCATAAGCAAAGATAATCTGAATAAATGGCACAAAACTGGGTTTAAAGATGCAAAGCCTTAAGGGGAGTTTTGGACAACAATGAGAGCATTCGATTGCAATTTAAAGTGCCCTCTTCCTTTTCCATCCTATTTATCTATACTCCATTTGACTAATGCCCATGGAAAACTGAAGTAGGTCATTGTGTCACAAAGGCAGCAATTCTGTTTCAAAAGCTTTACATTTTGAAGCACACAAGCAGCATCTATTATCTAATGAGCTAGTCCACCAACTTTGTGTAGCCATTGTCTATAAAATGACCACAGGATTTACTCACTGTCGTTGCATAAAGACTTGGTTGAATGTTATTTTATACACTGACAATAAAGAAAGATAAGTCACAGACAGATGAACCAGAAAAGACTGTACAACACAATTTAATATGGATTGTGTTAAAATGAATCACCTGCTTCAAGTAAATGTCTCTGACCTATTACAACCTACTGAAGTTTTCTCCTGATCTTATAAGAAAACACAGAGTAAAGAAAATCAAGCAGAAAAGCACATTCTAATGCTAAAACAATCCCTGCTCCACCAAACTGAATACGATGAAAATAGGTATCAAGGTTCAATTCAGAATGGTGTCAAAATGGTCTGAAATCATGATTTGTTTACACTGCATGGAATACATGATATATATATATATATATATATATATATATGTATATGTATATGTATTTCATTTGTACAAATATGCATACAAATATGCATAATCATATTCAAACTATTTTTCAGGCCTAATTATACTGTTTAAATTTTTTGTTTTATTATCTTAGAATTTTAGTCCCTTCTCCACCCTCACTGTAACTGTGCTCCTCCAAACCTATACTGAGCGGTCACAAAGTGAAATCCTTGAAGAAAGGCTACACAAAGAAAAGAGATCTCACTATAATCAAGCTATATAAACCAAGAAAGTTTTCTTAATGAGTTGAGAGTTGTCTTGAAGGAGTGCAGGGAGAGGTCTGAAGGCAAACCTTTTTCCAGTTAGTGCCGTCTTCTCAAATTCTATGTATGACCACCAAGCTCCTCTTTCCCATGTAAACCACCGTTGGTTAAACTGATCTGTAGCCTCCTCTCCCCAATCCTGACTCAGATCCTAGCAACAAGGTCCCTGACATCAGAGTGCCTGTGGCTTCTACTTTAACTCCTCTTGTCATCTGATCATGTGAAATAAACATGGCAAAATGAACCAGAAAAATTTACACACAAAAAGGCAAGGTCAGATTAGAAGATACCCTTAAAACAGGAAAACAGTACCTGATGATCACACAAGCTAATGAAAGTCAATGAATTATAGCAAAGTTATAAAGCTATGGAAGGAGGATAGATTTTGCAAGTATTTTGGAATGACTAGGTGATGACGCAAAGTAGTAAGGTTTCTAAAAGAGTTCTGGTGTGAAAGATAACCAACTACTAATATTAGACATAAGCTTTGAAAATGAACCTAAAGATAGTATACTTTTTTGAAATAAAAATTTTCCCATTGCTATTCAGTTACCCTGAGTCACAATTCAATTTCATAAGGGCAAGGACTCTGTTTGTCTTATTCTATGCTGTATCACTAGTAGGACTGCCTGCTACAGAGAAGCTAGTCCTTAATTGTTTGTTGAATGAATTAACATGTTCAGCCTTCAAATAAAAACTATACTGAAAATAAACTGAATTTTTAAAAAAAACATCTAAAGATAAGTTAAAAATACTTGTTATAGTAAATCTGAGTTTTAAAAAAAATTAACAGTGCTCACCAAATGTGATAATATTATAAAAACATGAACGTAGCAATGGCTTTCTTCTATTTAAATCTCTTTTAGGAAGCAGAGCAAGATTTCTGATGCCTGCACAGGAGTATGCCATTTTCAAATACGCAAGAGACAAACAGAATAAATCTAAGATGAACTGCTTGAAATAAAAACTTGCCTTAATGGCCTCAGTTAGGATTGCATCCATCTTGGGACGTGGGGAGGAAGCCATCGGTGTTTGTTTCTGGGCCCTGGCTAGCTGGCTGGCAGAAAGGGTAGCCCAGGAAGGTATTGTTTTTTTCACTTTCTTCTCCTTTTCTTTAGACTGATCTTTCTCACTTTAAAACAAAGAATTGTTATTATGCAAGATAAACTCTTCAGAAAGAAGTATAAAGTCAGAAAGAAGAAAAGACCAGAGAGGGATAAAAATCAATGTTTTAATTCATTTCCACACTGAGGTGATACGTAAAATAAGCAACATTTTACAAAATAAAACATTTTTTAAAAATTGGGTTCTACAAATGAACCAAAAAGGTGTGCTCTCCCAGCTGCACACAGGAGAGAGGAGTCATATAAATCAGCACTAGTATGAAGGGCCAGTACATAAAAGAAATGAGAATTTTAAAATGAATTCTAGTAACAACTGCAACAGATGCGATTCAGTACAGTGCAAAGAACTCAAGCTCTGAAGTCAGAAAACTTGGGTTTGAGTCTCAGCTCCAACATTTACTAGCAAGTAATCTAGCAAGTGATCTTAGCAAGTGACCTGAGTCTCAATCTCCTCAGCTGTAAAACAGTAATGTAATACCAAATACTTCACAAGGTGCTGCAAGAAATGATGAGATTACGTTTATAAAAAGTTTCGTGAACCATAAAGCATTATACAAATTTTATTCTAAGTAATAATAACACTCCATGTACCTAAAAGAAAGGGTAGCTGCTAAAAATTCCACAGACCTTACCTATACCTATGAAACTGCGATGAAGGATTCCCTGAGGATTATACCTGGAAAGTATAGCTATTTCTAAGTCATTCTTTTATTTAAAAAGTAATTCCTGTTTTCACCAATTATGAAAAGAATAGAATGAATGCTACCAGTTGTCCTGCAAAAAAAATTTAAATTAAAAAAGAATCACCATCACACTGTACAGATTATCAATAGCAAATTTTGCCTTCAGATTCTCAAAGTCACACTCCAATTGAATCCTTCATCAAATATATACAGAGTTTTAGGCCACTCTAGCAATGGCTTGGTATAGATGAATGCTTTCTAACATAAGCATGTAAAAATAACTCATTCCCGCAAAGAGGGAGGAATAAAGTGAAGAAGAATCTCTCAGGTCAGATTTTTACAGTCACGTTCCATTTCTTATTGAAATTATGTCAATGTTTACAATAGGAGACACTCCCACGATGAATTCTAAGCACAAAAACACATGCCAAAGCCGAAAAGAATGAATTTTGCATCCGTCAAACCACTGTTCTGATAATTACCACAAATTCTAATAGGCCATACGACTACATCGTAAGCCTATTCCAAAAGATAATTCCAAAAAAAGCAAATCCAAATAGCATGTATCTAGCATAAATTAAGTTGTATCACTTAAAAAAAATATGACCTACAGTCCTTTTACATAGTCTTCACTTATAAATAGCAAGAAGGCATAAGTCCTTACTCCTTTTTGGTTTCCTCAGAAGGCTTGTTTTCTTCCTTCTCTTCACTCTCAGGTTGCCCCTTTGGCTGCTCTGTCTCACTAGATGTAGCAGGTGGAGTTTCGTTCTCTTGTTCTTCTACAGTGGAGACAGATTCCTCTGAACTTACATCTGGTTCTAAAAAAAAAAAAAAAAAAACAGAAATCAGGTGAGTAGAATTGCATCAAGTAAATACATTAGAGCCTGAGTCAATAAAAGGGTAAAAGTTTATCTCTTTAAACAGATAAGCCAAATGTTGCAATTAACAGCTATATCCTAAAATGAACAAATGATTATGAGTACAGTTTTTTTCCCCTGATTTATGTCACTCAAATTGCCTATATAAGGGGTTGCTGATCCAGACCATTAGGTGAGAAGAGGAGAAGGATCAGGAAATTGCACAGAAAGGGAAACTCATTTTACCCCAAATCAAAACTCTTGAGTGTTTTACTCTATAACATTAATGATGAGACTCATAATTAAGAAATTAGCCATTTCATAATTTAACAGGCTAATATTAGTAAGGGAATAAATAACAGAAAATTAATATTTATTTTCCAAGTGAAATGATTCTGGCAAGTGTAGAAATATGAGAGGGGGAATACTGAGGTCTGCAGTTGCTGGTCTGTGTCTTTTCTCAGTAGGTCTCCTTGAGCAGCCACTACAGAGCACAGAACCCCAGGAAATGGTTAAGCAGACACTTAAAAGAAAAGGGCATCAGTGGCCAAAACTAGGCAAAAAAAAAAAAAGGATATGCTTGAAGAGTTTAGTCATTTAAATTATGTGAACTCATTACTGGCATAATGAAGACTTCTTTGGGGCCTTCACATAAATAAGAGAATTTTTTAAAATGCCACTTCCTTCTGATAGCCAAACCACATACACACAATGCTAAAGGAATTCTACAAATTAAAATTCTAAACCGTAAGTTTCAGGATAGTCAACTATAATTTGTAAATCATCCTGGATTATGCTCTTCAACCAGACTTGCATGTAAGTGAAAAATCCTCCCATATATGCTCAGCAAAAATCAAGGCTCCTAGAGTCAGATATATCTGGATTTGAGTTCAGATTTTCTAACATTCTAGCTTGATATCTTAGGGCAAGTTCTTTGACATCTCCAAATCTCAGCACCCTTACTTCACAGAGTTATTATGAACATAACACAAAATACTTTAGGGGAAACCTGTAGGCTAGCACTTGTACTGATTTCCATCCTCCTCTGGCCTCTTCTACTGCTTCTAGAGCTGTTACGCAAATATTAAGGCTAGAACTTCAGTGTAACAATGCTATCTGGTGATACAGATAACTGCAAGATGTATTATTTTTTTATCACGATGTATCTTTTACAGCCCTTCGCCCCAACGATCTGACCTAACTGGCCGACCTAACTGTGTAAGAACTTACTTTTAGTCATGTTTACTTATTTTTACATTGCCTTATTCTAAACAAACTGAAAAGCCAAGACCGTTTACTGAGTTTTACCGTAACAGCAGGGATACAAATTAAATTCCACATTATTTTCTCTTAAAGCTTAAGGTTTAATAAAGGTTCAATTGCTCAACAGCTAATGAGGCATTGCTACATATGAGACAATGTTTCCAACTCACAGAACTATTGTGTATGCCTTTATGGATTTATATAATTTACAACATGAGTAAAGTCCAATTATTTTCATGTACAAAATACTATAATGGGACAGAGATAAGATAAACAAACACAACTTGTGAAGTGTCTTACTGGTCCTTTATAAATTCTTGGTTGACTTTTCTAATACCTTACACCTGAACACTCTGGTGTATTCTGAAAACTCAGGTTATTAGTGACTTAGTGACTTCAGCTGGCTGTTAAATGCGGCTCAAGATGGGCCATCAAGTGGCTTATCTCAGTGCTGGAAAAAATAACCTATCCTCAACTCACCAGCAACTATTATTTTTTTTAATATGCTGATTCCCATGTCTCCTCACTGCCTTAGGCCAGAGTACCCCCAATGCTTGTAGTATTCGTCTGAGGATTCTGAGACAAAATCCAGGCTCAGCTGAAGAGCAGATCCCTAGTGCACCAAGGATAAAGGCATCAAGGGTGCATGTATTATTTTATTCATAATATATGCTGGTCAGCAAATATTTGGTTCTAACAGCCACGACAGGGACAGCACCATGTGCTCATCCCTGGCAATGAAAAGAAAAGAAAAAGAAAAAGGTCACAAGACCAAGAAAAGCAGTTCCACTTGAAGAAGTGGTTAGAGGTGCCATAAAGGAACACGAATACTCCAGACTGACGGTTCTACCTTTCTCTTGATTTATTATGTTCCCACCTCTGCCTGGCCAATCTTCTCTCCACCAACACAAAAGTTACAAACCAATGCTTTGATCGCCCATTTGCTCCCTTAAGGCCTCTTGATGATTTCTGGTCGAGCCTTCCGCTGTCCATCTTGAAGGCCCAAGTCCTCCACTCTTCCAGGGTCTTCATCCCCATGACACTGTACGCCCAGAAGCTACTCTTCGACCATTCCTGTTCTCTCCAACCATCTTTCTGTTTTTTAATTCCAAGAACATGAAATTTTCACCTTCTAAAAATCTTTATAGAGACAAGATGAAATTCTTTCTTTGCCCACATGGTCTGGAAATGACATACCAACAGGTACCACCTCTCTCTCTAAATGCTCCCCCCAAACACTGAAGCATAAAAAGAGAACAATTAAGTTCAAGGGAATTTATGGGACACTCCAAACTGGAGCAGAAACGTTTGCCTTTTGAAGCTGTCCACCGCTTTACTTTACCTGGCTTTTCTTCCTCCCCTTCAGCGAGCTTGCTCTTGGGAGGAGTTTCCCGGGTAGAATTCACAGCTCGACGAATCGGCATGGTGTTATCTTCTACCTTCTAAGAAAAGAAATGGCCATAATCACACATGCAAACAAAATTTCTCTTTTCTCTCTCTCTCAAGGGGCCTAACTGGGTGTCAGAAGATGTAGGAGAATTCTTCAAGTCGACTCCAGGATCTGATGCAAATTACTTTTAACAAGATTTTTTGAAATGAAATATGATTCTTAAGTACTTTTCAATGTATTTTATTTTAGCTAGAATTTCAAATAAGTAATTATACTTGATTTGGAATAAATTTGGAAGGTTGGAGGTTTTCTCAGAAGTTTGAGGGGAAAGGGAAGATGAAAAGAGCTTTGTATCTACTTGATTTGTTCAGATTCACAACCCAGACTCCCCCAAGTAGAGGAAGGAACAGGTACCAAGAAGGACCCAGCAGGGCCTGAAGTCAGGGACTGATCCAAGAGCTTCAAGACTGTGTCAGCCCCTACCTCACCTAACTTGTCCGCGTGGATCAGCTGAGCTCCTACTATAAGTGGGAGTGCCTTAGGATGGACGAGTTCACCTTGAGACGTATCAGTCGCCATTTAAAATAATTTCTAGGCCCGAGTACAGGTTACACTCTGAAGCCTCTGCTGTTAACCACAAGGATTTTTCCTAATGGTTTCAGTGTGGTGAAGAATCAACCTAAAGCACAGAAAAGACCTGGTGTGAAGATTAACAGAAACAAAACTAAACTAAAACGTCTAAATTTAATATACATCCAAAGGGAAAAAAAATTCACTATAAAACTTATAGTTAAGCGACAGATGACTTGGTCAGTTATCATTCAGAAAGATAAAATCACTGTCAAAATACAGACTATGTAAAAGCAGCGACTAAGACAAATGCACAAGCCACAGCAGCTGTTGCACCTTCCACATGAACAAAGGCAACAAGGACAAGAAAGCTCATAAGGAACCTAACCCCATCCCCTCCTGCTAGTATCAGGAACTTAGAAAGAACAGAATAAGGAGACCTAGGAATAGTTTAGTCAATGTTTACTCAAAGATCAGTTTACTAAAGAGAGAGGCTATTGTTGTTACTGTTCTCAAAGGGGTCAGGAAACTTAACTGTAACCTTAACTCCATCTCCATCAGAGAAGTAATACAAGGGCAAAAATACTGCTGAAGAACACGACAGTCTAAGAGCCTCCAGACTCAGAAAAGCAAATTCAGACCATCACCTAGGAGAATAAGTATGCCTCTAAGACCTTATTTGTCATATTTTTAATGTTAAGCAAAATCAGCACAAAAGAACAAAATTAAAGATTTAAAAATAAAACGCATGTAAATTACTCAAATTTACCTGATCATTAACACCCTCTGCCCCGCCCATCCTCATCTGGGACTCAACATTTTATATAAAAACTCTTCCAAAATACAAGAAAATAATCAGTTAGGCGTTTAGGTCTTTGTGCTACTGAACATTAATGACGAGACCTGGGAAAGAGCAGACTAGTCATTCAGCTTCTACTTCAAGCTCTAACCCTGTCTAGGAATTTAAGAGCTTTCAATCTGTCAGGTAATAGTTTCAAGCTCCAAACATACAGAACGCTTTCACCTTTACAGGGAAAACCATTTTATGGGAACACCAAGAGCAATGCCAGACTTGTGAACTATCCGTCAACTGCGATGAAAGGCAGCTGAAAGAATTCAAGATCATATAATATGCTAAAAACTTATTATTCAAGAGTAAATTAGGAATATCCACGAATATTTAAAAATTATTAACTGTTACAAAAACTACTTAAAATGCTCATATAGCAATTCACTTCAACAACTATAAAACACAAAAATAAAAAGTTCTCTCATTTGTGAAAAGTTGGGTTTAAGGGCATTATTTAGGTTTGTGAAAGCTAAAAGTCTATCTTGGAATAATTTCAATACATAAACTTGCTCCCTCATCCAACTAGAAGTTACATAGTAATATATTTTCCTTGATTAAAAAAAAAGCAAATCTGATGATACTTTTACATGTAAATACCATACAGAAGTAAAACTTCATGACCAGGTTATTCTTTTTTTTTTTTTTTTTTTTTTTTTTTTTTTCTAATGACTCTGGTCAAGCTGAAATCTTTGTTTTCTTTAGTTTTGAGAAACTAGACCTAAAAATCTGTCATATAAGATAACTTTAGTTTCTACTAGTATGTTTCAGTAAGAGAGCGTTCTATGTCCCTGTATATGATCACTGGTAAACAACAGCAGTAAGAACATTAAAACTAATATTCATAATGATGATAATGACAGCTATATGCTATATACATAACATAAAAGAGAATGTATTATAGAAGTGTTGGGTAGAGTAATATCCCGCGTCTCCTGCATCGGCAGGCGGACTCTCAAGCACTGCGCCACCAGGGAAGCCCCTGACCAGGTTATTCTTGATGAAGTGATACTGCTAATGGATTCATCTTTCTTAACCCATGATAATACTAGCTAGGTTGAAAATGATACTTGAAAATGATACAAAACCTTCAGCAGTCTGTTCGTAGAGGATCTTTAAAAAATATTTTCCCTGTAAGTAAAATACTAAAAAAAAAAAAGTCAAAACCCTTCCAGTCAACTCTATATTTACTAATTGCTCAAAATTGAAACAAACAGGTTTTAGAAAAGGAGTGGGGGTGCAAAGGAAACTACTCTCAACGCCAAGATGACAAAATTGACTGAAATCAGGGCAACAAGTACATGGTCCATAAAGACATTAGACATCATTAACCTGAGGACAAGAATGTTAGTTTAAATTAGGTCAGGTAAGAAGTATGCCCAGGGTGGAATAACTGAGAAATAAGTTGGTGTGCCAATCTTCCTGGCTGCATCCACCAAAAAAAAACAGAGCCTGACACTTTCCTGCTTAAAACCTCCCCATCACCACACTCCCTTATTTCAGTAATCTCACCCCTTACTACTCCACCCATCACTCTACTCTCTTGACTCCAAACACACAGATCTTCTTTTGGTCTTCAGTGTGTGCTTTGCACATGCTCTTCTTTTACACTGCAACATTCTTTTCCTAGACACTTCAATCAGATTTGTGCTCAGTGTCACCCCCTCAGAAAGCCCCCCCATCCTTCTTATTCTTTTTCAGGTTTCTTTATATTGCATTTGTAATAGCATTTAACACCACCTGTAATTCAATATATGTCTATTTACTTTTTTATTATGTGTCTCTTCCAGTGAAATGTAAGCACTACAAGGGCTAGGACTAATTCATCACTGTATTCCCAGCACCTAGAAGGATGCCCAGCACATACTGGGTGCTGGATAAATACTGGGGAAAAAAAGTTGAATGAACAATGACACCTGACAGTACTTATTACTATATTCAGCAAGTGTGAAGAACACTTAAAAAAAAAAACTAAATATTTAAAATTTAATATAAATATTGAGAAACGTTTGCCTCAGCTCTGCACTTCCTTAATAAAGGTCATGAAAATTAAGGCTTCAGTCTATAGCACTTTCTTTTTTTTTGGCCTCTCCTGTTGTGGAGCACAGGCTCCGGACGCGCAGGCTCAGCGGCCACAGCTCACGGGCCCAGCCGCTCCGCGGCATGTGGGATCTTCCCGGACCTTCCCGGACCGGGGCACGAACCTGTGTCCCCTGCATCGGCAGGCGGACTCTCAACCACTGCGCCACCAGGGAAGCCCTATAGCACTTTCTTTATAATAGAATGAGTTATTCCATAAGTTCACTGTTTATCACAGAGCTAACAAAACTATATGAATGGTTAATTCACACTACCTTAACATCACAGGTACTCATTAATTTAACTTTTGTTGCTACATTTCTGAATGATCAGACTTTTAGGCCGCCACACTTGTTTCCTCGCAGGAATCTTATCTGGCTGGTTCACTGCTCCTTACTTGGTGCCTAAGAAACATGCCAGGCACAGAATAGGTGCTTAATAAATATTTATTAAGTGAAAGAACGAATAGACGAAACTTGGATAAGTTTTTCATCTGGGTTCTTATATGTACCATCTGAGTTCTTATATGTGCCATCTGAGTTTACCTGTGGTTTATGTGGTCTTTCTGTGGTCATCAACCTGCTTTTTAAATTTAATGTGAGATTAACATAAAAAGATTTGCTTTCGTCAAGGGAAGTGCTAAGTTGTTTAAATGCAGGCAATAAAGAAAAGGTTGTAAAAGTAGAAAGTCCGTAATTTCAGAGTTTTAATTTACTTTCTCTACATTGAGAAAGCACTAGAAAAATACATAGTTCAACAATGTATTTCAGTTTACTGATATCCTTGAAAGTACACATTTTAGGGAAAGTATTATTTCATATTTTACCATAAAATGTACACAAGACATTATACATTATAATATCATTAGCTATGCACTGATTACATCAAATTGTTCTCAATCTAAAATCTTTAACTATATTCAGACTTAACGGGTAATGTCACAAAAAGCATGCGTACAATTAGCCAGCAACTTCTTTTTCACTTTCGTATTTCAATATATCAGTGTCTATGTTGGGCACAGATGCTATGGACACTACAGGGATCTATTCCTAAGACACGCACAATCTAACTAGCTAAAGAGTTAGGATTTTCATCTATACACGAAGAGTTCAGGACACTTGCTCCAAGTTCTCGCTATCAATCTCCCAATTAAGCTTAAAAACAAGGCCAAAAATAACCTCTAAAAATGTTACTTCTACTTTGAAACACATTACACTAAACTTTTGAAAAGAGCAATAAGAAATTTAAAAGCTCTTAACAGTTTTATGCCTATGCCAGATTAAACAAAACTAAACTATCTTCCAAAATAAAACTAGACACTTGTAACTTCACTCTAAGACAGGCCAGCTTTGTCCATAAAGTTCCAGGTGAATTCCTAGCTGTACTTTTAACTAAATTCTCACTTTTCAATGTAACATAAAGTCGGGAAGCATGATAAACAAGAGAGAAAATGTATACGCGGAAAGGGCGGTAAAGTTCACCTTGGCCGTCCTCTGTGCAGGGGTGAACACTCCCTCAAAAGTGGTTAAGTGACTCGTCCTCGGTCACAGACATCGGTCACTTCGGTATCAAAATCTCAAATCTGGGCCTCTCACTTCACCACTCCTGCCTCCAACTCTTTACAAACGCCCCTATTCACACGTTTGACTTTATCAGCTAAAATCACATCACCTAAGGAGCAGTGACTAACAAGCTCTAGGAAAGCCATACGGGAAAACGAAAGCTTAGGCCCGCGTCGCGGCGGCAGCGGCAGCAGCAGCAAAGGCTTTTCTGGGGCGCCAACAGCTGACACCGAGCCCGGACAGCCGAGAGAACCGGTTAGAAAGACCAGCAGAGACAAAGGCGGGGAGCGGCCGGTGCGGCGCCGAGCACAAGGCGGGGGAGAGCGGAGCCAGGATGAAGGCGGTGAGGCAAAGGGCGGCGAGCTCAGCGGCGGCGGACACCGAGGTGCACGCTTATTGCAGCTGACAGCTCGGGCTCCCGCTCCGGGATGCGCGCTGGGAGGCCGACGCCGCGACCCGAGCAGCGCCCGCCCGCGCGAGGTAAGAAGCGGCGGACCGCGAGTCCCAGCGCTCGGCGCACTCACCGCTGGGAGCTCCGTAATGGCGGCGGCGGGGGCGGAGAACCCGGGGGGCGGGTTCGCCACAGCCAGTCACCGCCGCCGGCATCTTTCGAACCGGCTCCGAAAACCGCTGAGAGTGGGGTGAGGGGGAGGGCGGGAGCGGACAGCGAGGCCCGCCGCGGGCCTCGGGAACATGCGCAAGACCTCAGCCAATCGGAGCGGGCGGGAGGACGCTGGCGCAGGCGCACTGGGACGCAGGGCCCTAGATCGGGGAAGAGCTCCCCAACCTCCCCAGTCCAAACAAAACAAGGGAGGGAGCGCGCGCGCGCGAGGGCCCCGGAGGAGGCTTCCAGGAGAGGGGCAGGGGGCTAGGTCGCAGTGGGGGGAGGGGAAGGGGGCGGAGCGGGCGGGGAAGGCAGACAAAAGGCACCACCTCCG